TGGACATCTGTTCCTAAGATCCTACAATGATAATAACAACAGCAGTACTGAGCTCCTTCTATGTACACGTGTCATCTCACTTCACCCTAAGAAGGTATTACTCTCACCTTACAGGTGTGAAAACTGAGGTCCTGGACAGTTCTATTTATTTATTTTTCAGAGATGGTGTCTTGCTCTGTCACACAGGCTGGAATGCAGTGGCATGATCACAGTTCACTGCAGCTATGACCTCCTGGGCTCAAGTGATCCTCCTGCCTCAGCCTCCCAAGCAGCTGAGACTAGAGGCACTTACCACCGTGCCCAGCTCATTTGTACTGGACAGTTAAGCTATTTGCTCGAGCTTACACATCTGGTAAACAGTCTGTTTATCTGCAGAGCCAGCATTCTTATCCAAGATACAGCTTACTTCTAGGCATCAAGGGATTTATGATTCTAAAAGGATTAAGATCCTTAGAGCCCATGATAAACAGACTAATGGGAGTAACATCCTTATTTTTAGAGGCTTTGATTTTATTGCAAGGCCCTAGTCAGTAGTCATGAGATTTACCTAGGGACATGAAGACTTTCCTTCTCTGAGGAAGCAGATTAGAAAACTTGTTTTCTTAAACTAAGTGGTCACAGCCCTTAAAGACATGGAAATCTAAAAGAAGCTCTGATGGACACTCCCAAGAAATTACAGACTTGAGTCTTTTAGAGACTGGCACTAATTAAAGGCAAATGTCATGGAGAGGGCGGTGACCTGAACAACCATTCACCTCCCACACGGCACAATCTTGAGGTTCCATTTTACTTTTCATAATCTGCCAAAGTTGAAATAATCTAGATCTGAAATTTTTCAGACTTCAGTTTTCAAACTTCAAGTTGTATAATTGTGAAACTTTTTGGCCAGACAGAAAGTTTTATTTGTGGAATGCCATTATCAAGAATGAGGCACATGAAGATCTTTAATTCTCACAATGGTCAGAGTAGTTATGACCCCTGTTTTCCAGAATAGGAAACTGAGTTGCGCAAAAGAATCAGGAACTTTCCCAAGGTCACACAGTTTTTAAGTGGTGAAGGAATTTAAATCTGGATCTGCTGAAATCCAGAACATGGCTAAGTACCACTGGGGCTGTAGGCGGAAGCCCAGCAGATAAAATTGTGAGTTGGGGCAGGCACAGTGGCTCATGTCTGTAATCCCAGCACTTTGGGAGGCCAACGCGGGATGATCACCTGAACCCAGGAGTTCAAGGCTGCAGTGAGCTGTAATTGCACTGCTGCATTCCAGCCTGGGCCACACAGCAAGGCTCCATCTCTAAACAATAAAAATAAATTAAAAGATACAAATAAAATTATGAGTTGAGCTGCTCTGGTTTGGGTTTGGGTGTGTTGGGTTGGAAGAGGCCAGCTCACTGAGACTTTTCCTTGTGCCCTGTAGGACCCTTGGAAACCTTGATAGCACAAAAGCAGTTAAAAAAAACTGGAAACAAATGTCCTTCAACAGAGGAATGAATCACACCTTCTGGTATATTCATTCAGTGGAATACCTACTTCTCAGTGATAAAAAGATAACATTTCAAAATAATTATGCTGAATGAAAAAGCTAGACAAAAATGAGAGCATACTGTGTGATTGCATTTATATAACTCTAGAAAATGTAAACTAATCAATAGTGACAGTAAGCAGATCAGTGGTTACTTGGGGGCAAGGAGAGGGTGGGAGGGATTACCAAGAGGTGCCAGGAAACTTTTTAGGTGATTAATATGGTCACTATCTTGATTGTGGTGATGGTTTCATGAGTGTGTGTGTATGTATGTGTATGTGTTAGATATATATGTATCTTAATTATACACTTTATTCCTTAGGTAGGAGATAGCAAAAAAAGTTTACACTTTAAATATGTGCAGTTTATTGAATGAAATTATACCTCAAAAAAGCAGTTTAAAAAAACTTCAGCTGGGTGTGGTGGCTCATGCCTGTAATCCCAACACTTTGGGAGGCTGAGGCGCACAGATTGCTTGAGCCCAGGGGTTCGAGACCAGCCTGGCAACATGGTGAAACCTTGTCATTAAAAAAATATATATGTAAAAATTAGTCGGGCATGGTGGTGTGTGCCTGTGGTCCCAGTTACTTGGGAGGCTAAGGTGGGAGGATTGCTTGAGCCTGGGAGATGGAGGTTGCAGTGAGCGGAGAGTGTGCCACTGCACTCCAGCCTGAGTAACAGAGATCCTGTCTCAGAAAAAGAAAAACAACGATACACACACACACACACACACACACACACACACACACACCACTTCAAAATTCAAAAGACTTGCCCAAGCTCACTCAGCATGCTGATGGGGAACCAGGCCAGGCCAGAGCTCCCCCTGTGGCTCACACCTATGTGAGGGAGGGAGCCTCCCCCAAATACAGCCCCCGGGCTTCACCCCATACTGAGGGCCAGGGTAGTTTCTCTCCAGTCATGGTAACGTGGGTACTGGACAAGCCAAGGCTCTGGTCACCAGGCAAATGGGTAGGTCAACAACGCAAAGTTGGTGGGAGCTTCACCCCATCAAGCCCAGAAACAAGGGTTGGTTACTGGGAACACCCTAGGGGAGACTGTACTCACAACCAGGGATCTTTGACAAAAATAGAAACCTGCTAGAAGGATTAGAAGAGACAATCTCTTCCTCTGTCAAATTACCTGGGCCAACACCTACTGAGCACCTACCACGTGTGAGGGTCTGCCTTAGCTCGCTATCTTATGGAATCTAGGTAAGGATGGGATGAGATCAATGCAAGGGCATGACACACTAAATAGGCATCCCCCAAATGGTAGCCATGACTCATCAAATATTCCCTAAGTGCTTGCTCTGGGTGCAGAGGGAACAGATGCTTGGGCTGATCCTCAAGGCCAGGAAAGATACGTGGACAGAAAGCTTTGCCACAACACCGAAGTTTGTGAGATAAATGCTTTGAGGGCCAAGAGGAGAAATAAATTACTTCCAGCTGTGGAGAGGTTTCATGGAGGCTGTGGTATGTAAGAGAGGGAAAGGAATTTGTATATGGGGACAAGGGAGGCTAGTAGAGATCATTCCACTTACAGGGGGCAGCATGAACAAAAGCAAGGCACCTGAGAAGCGGGCTGGCTGGCTGCAGTGAGGAGTGAGAAAGCCTAGAAGGGTGGGCTAGGGCCAAGTGCTTGGGGAAGCCCCAGAGAAATATGTGGACACATCTGCTCCCCACCCCCACTCCTGCAGAAGCCTGAGCTCCGCTGTGTGATTCATTCATTCCGTGGATAGCCAGCTGGGCTGCTGGCAGGCATGGGAGCTTCCCTAATGCCTCTGTGGCCTTGGAAGAACCGAGCCAAGTGCCTCAGTTAGAAACTTGGATTTCAGCTGGGGGTGGTGGTGTAGAGAGAACTCAAAGGAAATGAACCCCTCTGAGAAGCACTCACTCTAAGAAGCACCAGTGTCTCAACTCTTGGGCGTTCCCAATGGGCCAGCCAGTCTGCACCAGACCTCCAGGGCAACTGAAAACGGAAAAAATCCTCAAGTTTGTTCTCTCAGAGCCCAGAGAAACTTTTCTTTGAAAGGAAACTGTCTTAAACTTCTCTGTGGATGGTCAAGTCCAGGAGACACTGCCATCTGGTGGTCAAAAAACACATTTACCTTGTGGGCTGGGAAGGAGTCCCTGAACCCCAGGGGCCACAAAGGCAGAAATAGCCCTGAGATTTGTTTAGTACTTTCATAATGGGATGGAAATTATGCTTGCAATCAGTTTAGAGTTGAAATAAAGTGTTATTTCTGGCTACTAAGTTCCCCGAGGTGCAGGCATTATGCATTGCGCAGATGAGGAAACTGCCCATGAGATAGATGAGGTGGCTGGTCCCATGTCTGAGCTGCTCAAGTGCTCAACTGCTCACCTGGCCAAGATCCTCAATAATTTTTAAGAGTATGTAAGATCTACTCAGGAGGCTATAGCAGGAGGATTGCTTGACCCCAGAAGTTAGAGGTTACAGTGAGCTATGATCATGCTATTGCACTCCAACCTGACTAGTTTCAACCTGACTCAGCCTGACTGGAATTCAAATTACCATTGTGACAGATTTTTGACTAATGAAATATTTTAAAAATGAGTGGCAGCCAGGTACAGTGGTTCATACCTGTAATCCCAGCACTACGGGAGGCTGAGGCGGGTGCATCACTTGAGGGCAGGCATTCAAGGCCACTTTGGGAGGCCAAGGCAGGAGGATTGCTTGAGCTCAGGAGTTCAAGATCAACCTGGGCAACATAGCAAGACCCCATTTCTAGAAAAAAACTAAAAAAAAAAAAAAAAATGGTGAACTGGGCATGATGACATGTGCCTGTAGTCCCAGCTACTTGGGAGGCAAGAGTGGGAGTATTGCCTGAGCCCGGGAGGTCAAAGCTGCAGTGAACCCTGATTGCACCACTGCACTCCAGCCTCGGTGACAGAGAGAAACCCCATCTCAAAACAAACAAAAAGCCAAAAATGAATCACTATTATTTTCTGAGTGATTTTTAACCAGCAATCACTGCTCTAATTGATTTACATGTATCACTTCATTTAATCCCCACAACCACCATTTGCAGTAGATGCTATCATCACATTTTATGTCTGTGGACACTGAGAGGTTAAGTGGCCCAGCTGGGAGGTACTGGAGCTTGAACTCTATCCCAGGCAGTTTGTCTCCACAGCCTCTTCCCACTATTCCACTTGCCTTAACATTTGATAACCTTTTGTGCAACTCACTTGATAGAGAAAAGTTTTTCAAAACATGAAATCTACGAAACTGGTGAAAAGAGAGGGGATCACTGTTCTGGGTCAATGCCTCTACTTTATAGGTGAGGAAAAAATGAGGCCCAGAGAGGGGAAGTGATTTGCTAAAGATCACACAGCAAAAAATCAGAATCTACAGGGTGTCTGACTCCCAGGTAGGAACTCTCAAAACTCCAACCTGAGTAAGCGTAACCACCTACATGTGAGCAAGCAACACCAAGACCAGGCAAGACAACATCTCCAACAAAAGCAGCTTGATTTTATTGCGGGGAAGCTAGGAAGGAATAGGACAACTGAGGGTCTCCACAGGAACACCACTGCCCAGCATGACTGCCAAGTCCCAGGTCTGTCTGGAAGCCAGGGGAGGATCAGCATCCTAGGAAAGACGGAAAGTTAGGTGGAACAAAGGCGCCATCTGCTGTGGACATAACGATATTGCAAAGGCAACAAATGCACAAAGAGGCAGGGGTGAGGTGGAAAACCCAGGGTGCAGATGCAGGGGCAGGACTAGAACCCCAATGTCCAGCCCTGCACACTGCTCCCATGAAGTCTGTTATACTCCCATGAACCTGTTATACTCAGGTTGGCTGGAACGCATTAACCTTGCTAAGCCAATCACTGCCAAAGCCCTCTTCTGGGGAATTTCCAGGGCTGCCAGGATACTCAGTCAACAGCACTCCCTGTCCTGTTACAGTTTATGTTGGAAAGGCAATGAACAAAAGCAAAAGCAAATAAATCTGCCAAGAGTCAGATGATTAAGGTGACTTCAAAACCAATAAACACTCTATCTTTGAGGTTCCCAAGCCTGGCTTCAAGTGGGTCACTGAGGAGCCTCTTAAAGCAGACTTCAAAGACATGTTGCCTGAGCACGTGGACTAAAGCTGGCTTATTTGGGTGATTCTTACTGAGTACTATGCATCTGAATTTCCAGGAGCCTTTCCATACAATACATGGTTACTGAAATACGTACAGATAAGATTGTATGATGTTTAGAAGTTGCTTCAAAACAATCTGGGCAGGAGGGAGTGGGCATGATGTCTAGAATTTGCTTCAAAATAATCTGGGTGTTTCGTCATCCAGATGAAACAATGAGGACAGTGGAGTTTCTAATTCAAGATGTGTGCATTAGGGCTCCCCCACATGGATACAGATAGCTCCGGAAGAGTTGTTTTCCTTCTCTCCCTTCATTCCTTCTTGTCACAGAGTGCTTTTATCAAAAAGTAACAGGCCTTGGTGAAATAAACACTAATTGTTGGATCTGGGTGACAGGTACTTGGGGATTCATTCTAGCACTCTACTTACATATGTTTGAAACTTCCTATCATAAAAAATCTAAAATAAATAAAAAGTACCATGAAAATTACTAAGCCATAGGAAGGAATGATTTACAGACACGTGCTATGACTTGAATGAATCTTGAAAACATTATTCTACATGGAAAAAGGCAGACACAAAAAGGTCACATATAATGTAATTCCTTTTATATCACCTGTCCAGGGTAGGTAAATCCAGAGTAGTAGAAAGCAAATTAGTGGCTGCCAGGGGATGGAGAAATGGGTAGTGGGGAGTGACTTCTTAATGGATATAGGGTGTGTTTCTGAGATGATGAAAAAGTTTTGAAACTAGAGAGAGGTGGTGGTCATACAACACTGTGAATGCAACAAATGCCACTAAATGATAGACTTTAGCCCATTTATGTCTAGTGTTCCATTATTGGAATGCTAAGCTTGTGGGAGTTATTTATATCCTACTGCTCAAGGTCATCACCAAGGTTTGATTTTTCACATAAAAAACTTTGCAATATTCAGCATAAATGGGTTAAAATAGTTAATTATTATGTCTTGTGAATTTCATCTCAATAAAATAACATGAGAAAACATGTTTTCTATGAGAAAAACACATTAAGCTACACACGGTTTACATCCAACAGATATTACTTTTTTAATTAAAAAAATTCACACGCCCAGGCCTGGAGTTTCTAATCCAAGATGTATGCATTAGGGCTCCCCCATGTATATAGCTAGTTCAGGAAGAGTTTTTTTTTTTTCTTCTCTCCCTCCATTCCTTCTTGTTACAGAGCATTTTCATAAAATACAATCTTACAGGAAGCCCAATATGACACAGGGCTGTTTGGGAGCTATGGAGGGTCCAGAGCCCCATCCACTCACCCTCCCGACGAAACCCTAGGGGTAGAGGAATGATGTAAGAAACACTGTTCTTCAACATGCTGGAAACAGCTGATGTTTTACTTCCCTAGAGGATAAGCCTTCATATGTGGAGAGATTGCACACCAATCCCCACAAGGCAGGAAAGCAGGTTGGAGGTGTTAGCCCCATTTTACCGATGGGAAGACCAAATCTCTGTAATGTAAAAAGTCCCCAAAGTCAGTGTGAAATGAGGACAGAGTTGGAATCAGAATCCCAGATTCCTCGTTATTCATCCTGGGCTCATTCCTGAATATGCATTCTATCTATGGATGGAAAGTGCATGACGAAAACAGATGCATCTGACATCTTGTGACTTGCATGTGATGTTACCACATACACAGAACACTGCCATGGCTCAGGTTCCAAATGTACGCCTTTGGGAAGGAGGCTATCCTCAAAGAGGACCTACCAGTCAGTTGTGGCTGGCCTCTGTCTGCGGGGTCTCCGTGGGCCCATTCACAGGGACAATGCCACCAGTAACAGTTACAGAACCCCGATTCAGGATATCTGACTTTCTTCCTGCCTCTGCCACTCACCTGGGTGGGACTTTGGTTGAATCGCTTCCCCTCTCTTGGCCTCATTTTTCTCAGTCACAGTCAGGCACCAAACCCCATCAGAGATGTGGTGATCATTGTAATTGACGAGTCAAATGTGCTACATGGGCAATGGCAGCCAGAAGTGCCCTGCTGAGACTGGCTGGATCAATGAGTAAGGTCTGCCTGGTTCCAGCGTGAAGACTGGTGGCACAGTGCCCCTTACTGCCTCACTGGATTACATAAAAGTGAAGGGAACATCTAGCTCAAACATGCTATTGTTTTTGTACCAGTCTGGACAGAGGGCATGCTCAGGAAGCTGACAACAGTTTCAAGTAGAGAGGGCGGCACAGTCTGAATTAACTCACTTGGTCAGGGCACAGAAGAATAAGGCCCAAGGCATAAGTGTCAACTCTTATGAGACAGTCAGTTTATCAAAGCCAGAGCCATGTGTGGTGATATGTGCCTACAGCTCCAGCTACTTAGAAGGCTGAGGCAGGAGGATCACTAGAGCCCCGGAGTTAAAGGCTATAGTGCACTATGATCACATCTATGAAGAGTTACTACCCTTCAGCCTGGGCCACATAGTGAAACACCGTCTCAAACAAACGAACAAACAAAGGAGCCAAAATGCACTGCTTAGGGTCATAGACTGTAAACTTAAACCCTGCTATCCATGAACTGCAACCCTCAAGTCCGAAAGAGGACTCTGGGAGACTTTACAGTGCTCTGTCCACTCACAGGGGCTGTAAGAATTCCCTGAACTTGTGATTTGCATTAGACAATAATAAAATATTTGTAACCACTTCAAAGAAGGTAGACAGTGGATTGAAAAGAACCCAGGGGGCTCTTCTGTTCCACTCAAGCTCTCAAAGGCCAAGGTGTTAGCTCTGATGAGAGGTGTGAGCGGTAGGTTTGTTCAGCAAGTGATGGGGCCTTACGCACCTGCCCGCTTTGGTCCATCCTGTGGGCTGTGGGGAGCAGGTCCCTACTACTCGAGGCCAAGGTAGGAAACAGTCTTTCCTGTTTTCTTCAGGGTTGCAAGCAGAGTGTCCACGCTGTGCTCAGATTCAATGCAGATCTTCTTGTTGGGCAGGTCAATGTCATACTTAACTCCTGCAGGAAGAGGAAATGGGGTATGGGGAAAGGAAGCACAGACTCTCCCAGTTATAGCAAGAAAGAGTTCAGGCTCTAAATTACTACTCACAACCACCCTTGCCCTTTCCTCTAGAGCAGGGATTGGCGAACTTCTTCTGTAATGGGCCAGAAAGTAAATGTTTTAGGCACTGTGGGCCACATATGGACTCTGTTGTATATTCTGCGTATTTTTTAATAACTCTATTCTTGAACATACAAAAATAGGCTGTGAGCAGGATTTGGACCATGGGCTGTAGTGTGCTGATCCCTGCTCTATACTAGGGTTTTTTGAGACAGAGACTCACTCTGTTGCCCAGGCTGGAGTGCAGCGGCACAATCTCAGCTCACTGCAACCTCCAGCTCCTGGGTTCAAGTGATTCTCATGCCTCAGCCTCCGGAGTAGCTGGAATTACAGCCATACGCCACCACATCTGGCTAATTTTTGTATTTTTAGTACAGACAGGGTTTTGTCATGTTGGCCAGGTTGGTCTCAAACTCCTAATCTCAAGTGATCTGCCCGCCTTGGCCTCCCAAAGTGCTGGGATTACAGGCATGAGCCACCGCGCCCAGCCATGTTTTTTTTGTTGTTTTTTTTTTTAAATTGCAAAAGTAATATAGACACTTTTTTTTTTTTTTTTTTCAAAAAAGTGAACATTTCTAAATAAAAGTAGAAGCAGTAAGGCCCCCTATTGATCCTACCCCTTGAGATCACTGTGAACAGTCCGGCTTCTATCCAGACTTTGTCCCAGATAGACAAATGAAAAATAATTCCTCCAAATGGCATCACACTACATAAACAGGTCTTGCTAATATTTTACTTTTTTCTTTATTACTTTTATTTATTTATTTATTTATTTATTTATTTATTTATTTATTTATTTATGTAGAGACACGGTCTCATTGTGTTATCCAGGCTGGAGTGCAGTGGCACAATCACAAATCACTGTATCCTTGAACACCCAGGCTCAGGTGATCCTCCCATCTCAGCCCCCCACGTTGCTGTGACTGCAGGCACATGCCACCATGCCTGGTTAAGTTTTGTATTTTATGTAGAGACAGGCTTTTGCATATTGCCCAGGCTGGTCTTGAACTTCTGGGCTCAAGCGATCTGCCTGCCTTGGCTTCCCAAAGTGCTAGGACTACAGGTGTGAGCCACTGCACCCAGCCCTTTTTTTTTTTTTGAGACAGAGTCTCGCTCTGTCTCCCAGGCTGGAGTGCAGTGATGTGATCTCAGCTCACTGTAGCCTCTGCCTCCTGGGTTCAAGCGATTCTTCTGCCTCAGCCTCCCGAGTAGCTGGGATTACAGGCATAAGCCACCATGCCTGGCTAATTTTTGTATTTTTAGTAGAGATGGGGTCTTGCCGTGTTGGCCAGGTTGGTCTTGAATTCCTGACCTCAGGTGATCCACCTGCCTCAGTCTCCCAAAGTGTTAGGATTACAGGCGTGTGCCACAGTGCCTGGCCCTATTCTTTTTTTAAAAGCTACAATCTTCCATAGTGTGAACGTACCACACATCCACTTAATTAATCCATGTTAAAGGTCATTGAGGATGCTTCTAATTTTTCACCACTATCACAATGTTATAGCAAACATATTTGAACTTGTCTTAAAAAAACTTATAAAAATATTTTTATACAGTGAATTCACAGAATGGAAATTGTGGGGCGACAGATGTTTGACACATTTTGAATGTTTAATAGACATTGCAAAATTGCCCTCCTAAATGGCTATGCCAATTTATAGCTCCCCAGCAGCACATGAGAGGACCCAGAGTTTTACTCTGACAAAAGAACACACAGAAAGAAAGGAAAAGTCTTGAGAGGTTCTATGCCTGGCCTCACCATTGACTTGCTGGGTGACCATGGATGGCAGGGGTGGGGTCCTGCTTCTCACAGGCCTCAGTTACCTCATCTGTACATGAAGGATTCAGGGCTGGCCAGCTCCTGTGGGCTTTCCAGCTCAAGAATGCCATTAATCTGTGATTCCTCAGCCCTCGCACTCTTTTTTTAGGGCCCTAAGCAACTCAAAAAACCCTCCTGACTTTCTCAAGAGGCCATCCAAGTAGGGACAGTAGGAAAAGATGGGGAGAAACCTGCCGAAGCTCAAAGGCAGATCCTCCAGCAAGGGGCCTTAAAAATCATATGGTTGGCTGGGCGTGGTGGCTCATGCCTGTAATCCCAGCACTTTGGGAGGCTGAGGCGAGTGGATCATTTGAGGTCAGGAGTTCGAGACCAGCCTGGCTAACATAGTGAAACTCCATATATAAAAAATATAAAAAAATAATTTTATATTTTAATAAAATATATAAAAATATAAAAATTAGCTCAGTGTGGTGGCATGTGCCTGTAATCCCAACTACTCGGGAGGCTAGGGCAGGAGAAGTGCTTGAACCTGGGAGGCAGAGGTTGCAGAGAGCCGAGATCACACCACTGCACTCCAGCCTGGGAGACAGAGTGAGACTCCTTCTCAAAAACAAAAACAGGCTGGGCGCGGTGGCTCAAGCCTGTAATCCCAGCACATTGGGAGGCCGAGACGGGCGGATCACGAGGTCAGGAGATCGAGAGCATCCTGGCTAACACGGTGAAACCCCGCCTCTACTAAAAAATACAAAAAACTAGCCGGGCGAGGTGGCAGGCGCCTGTAGTCCCAGCTACTCGGGAGGCTGAGGCAGGAGAATGGCATGAACCTGGGAGGCGGAGCTTGCAGTGAGCTGAGATTCGGCCACTGCACTCCAGCTTGGGCGACAGAGCAAGACTCCGTCTCAAAAAAACCAAAACCAAAACCAAAACCAAAAACAAAAATCACATGGTTTCCCAGCCTGGGCAACAAAGTGAGATCTTGTCTCTAAAAAAAAAAAAAAAATAGCCCGGTGTGATCCTGTAGTCCCAGCTACTCAGAAGGCTGAGGTGGGAGGATCACTTGAGCCTGGGAGGTTGAGGCTGCAGTGAACTGAGGTTGCGCCACTTGACTCTGGCCTGGATGAAGTTCCTGGGGTGGGTAGGTGTCCTTGAGCTGTCAAACAAAATTAGGCCCGTTCCCACTTCATGCAGAGCCTGCTGCTTTATTTGAGGGGCTCCTGTGCAGTTTCATTTTTAAAGCGTCAACAGGCCGGGTGCAGTGGCTCATGCCTGTAATCCCAACATTCTGGGGGGCCAAGGAGAGAGGATCACCTGAGGTCAGGAGTTTGAGACCAGTCTGTCCAACATGGAGAAACCCCATCTCTACTAAAAATACAAAATTAGCTGGGCGTGGTGGCCCGCGCCTGTAATCCCAGCTACTCAGGAGACTGCGGCAGGAGAATTGCTGGAACCCGGGAGGCAGAGGTTGCGGTGAGCTGAGATCACGACATTGCATTCTGGCCTGGGCAACAAGAGCGAAACTCCATCTCAGAAAAAAAAAAAAAAATTAGCCAGGCGCGGTGGCAGGCACCTATAATCCCAGCTACTCGGGAGGCTAAGGCAGGAGAATCGCTTGAATCCAGCGGAGGGCGGGTGAAGCAGGTTGTAGCAAGCAGAGATTACGCCACTTCACTCCAGCCTGGGCAAAACAGAGAAACCCCATCTCAAAAAAAAAAAAAAAAAAAAAAAAAAAAAAAGCATCAACAGCAGAAGTTGATCCAGATACACAAGATATACATTCCTATACCACAGCTAGGAAAACCCAGGCCTGAGAAACAAGGGCCCACAGTCATGTGGAAAGTCAGCAGCCAGGTTCTTTCCACTGTTTCAGTTTCTCTCAGACTAAGATCCCAGTTGAAAGGGCCAGAAGTCAGCCACTGACTTGCTGCGGGACTCTGGGCAAGTCACTTAACCTCCTGGGTACAGGCATCAACATCCTCATTCCAAAGATGGAAAGTACAGCTCAGAGGACTGCTAATGAGATCACATCCATGTGGAAGCCATTTGAAAACTTAATGTCATTATTATTTAGGGTTTTAAAAGAGAAAATGTTAGAAGATTGTGTGACAGTTCATGGAGGGGAACAAGAAAAGAAAAAGTCTTAGAAGGCTGACTGAGCACTGGCATTGCCAAAACTCTGATCACAACTCAGTTATTACCTCATTCAGTACCAGGACCAGACCCCAGCCCTCTCTGGGCCTCAGTTTCCCCAGCTGTGAAATGACAAGGCTGGATGAGACTGATTGTTGAAAAGAGGTGCTTTAAGGATATCTGTATGTGGCCAGGTGCAGTGGCTCATGCCTGTAACCCTATCACGTTGGGAGGCCAAAGTGGGCAGACTACTTGAGGTCAGGCATTCAAGACCAGCCTGGCCAACGTGGTGAAACCCCATCTCTATGAAAAATACAGAAAATTTGCCAGAAATCGCTTGAACCCAAAAGGCAGAGGTTGCAGTGAGCTGAGATCATGTGCCACTGCATTCCAGCCTGAGCGACAGAGCGAGACTCCATCTCAAAAAACAAAACAAAACAAAACAAAAAACCTGCATGTGAGCGATTCAAAATTACTTAAAAAAATTTTTTGAAGCAAAGAAATAGAAAAAGACAAAATTTTAAAAAAATTGTTACTTTTTAAAAATCTTTCCCTTTTTTTCTTATTTATTTATTTATTTTTTTTGAGACAGGGTGTTGCTCTGTTGCCCCCACTGCAGTGCAGTGGCATGATCTAGGTTCACTGCAGCCTCAACCTCTTGGGCTCAAACGATCTTCCCACCTCAGCCCCACAAAGTAGCTGGGAGTACAGGCATGTGCCACCATGCCTGGCTAATTTTTTTGGTATTTTTTGTAGAGAGAGGGTTTTACCATGTCGCCCAGGCTGGTCTCAAGAACTCCTGAGCTCAGGCAATCCGCCTGCCTCAGCCTTCCAAAATGCTGGGAACACAGGTGTGAGCCACCGTGCCCAGCCCCATTTAAAAAATCTTAATAGAGGCTGGGCAGGGTGGCTCACACCCGTAATCCCAGCACTTTGGGGGGCCGAGGCAGGCAGATCACCTGAGGTCAGGGGTTCGAGACCAGCTGACCAATATGGAGAAATCCTGTCTATACTAAAAATACAAAATAAGCCGGGAATGGTGGCGCATGCCTGTAATCCCAGCTACTCGGGAGACTCAGGCAAGAGAATTCCTTGAACCTAGGAGGCAGAGGTTGTGATGAGCCAAGATCGCACCACTGCACTCCAGGCTGAGCAAGAAGACCAAAACTCCGTCTCAAAAAAAAAAATTTCTTTTAACAGAAAATGACACTCAGATGTGTCATGCAGTATACACTGGAGATGACCAACATATTCAGTAGTACTGCCATGGTTCCAGAGCTAGTCCTGGCAGTTCTAGTTAATTTGGCTAAATCCCAGCTCCGCCATTTACTGACCATGTGATCCCAGATGAGTTAACGTCTCTGAATTTCAGCTGTCTCCTGTTTAACATGGAGCTAGTCAAACAAGCTATCTGAAATGGCTGTGGTGAGGATTAAATGATGTGATCCACATAAGAAATTAACAAGAGTAGTTGGCACGTGCTAAGTTCTCAATACATTTTAGTTTTACTGTTATGATCAGCTTAACCCTAAGCCTCTCCTGCAACATCTGCATGCATCTGAACATGGCATAAGTGCATCTGTCTCCTCTATCCCACCCCCAACTGAGGGCCACTCACTCACCTCCCAACTTATCAAGGACCCGAGAGACAGCTTCAGCACAGCTTCCACAGGTCATGTCCACGGAGAACACGTGCTTCTGAAACAAACAAAGAGGGAGCATGACCCGAGCCCTGCAGAGTGACCCACACACAGTGCCAGCAGACAGGCCCACTCAGGGTCGAAAGAGAAGGCAGAGAGACTGGGTAGGACTTGGTTGGCATCAGACTCATCAGGAGCCTGTTTCTGAGCCCCAGTCTCTTTAACTATAGAGTAGCTAAGAGTTTCTACCTCATAGATGGTATTCAATGGAATCATCCCCATAAATCCTTTAGCAGTGTCTGGCACATAGTGAATAGAATCACCTGGAGATCTAGTTTAAAATGCTTTTCCCAGTCCTACCTTCAAAGCACTGATTCTTGAGCTATGAGCTTTGTCTCAGGGCCACTAATAACTCTGACAGGGATGGGCCCCCATACTTCTAACAATGCTGTTCTGGTGGGCCCACTTATGAACCAGAAAATTATTTTCTGCACTAGACTCACCTGCAGCTTGCAAAAACTACAGGTTCTGGTCAGCAGGTCTGGGCTGGGGAATCTGTTATAGCTAGTCATTATACCAGGTGATTCTACTTTCATCCAAGGGCCGCATTCTCAGAGGCAGCATCTGGGTCCAGGGAAGAGAAAGGATTGCCTGGGTTCCCCAGTGGGTTGGAGGCCAGGCAGGAAGGGATCCCCAGCTCCTAGTCTTCATGTAAGCTCTACATTCTACAGTCTCCAAGATATCTAACAGATCAAGGGTCTGAAGGTAAGCACCCAGAAGACAGAGGTTTTGTTCAGTTCACTGCTGGATTCTTAATACTTGAAACAGTGCCTGGACAGAGTAGGTGCTTAAAACCTATTTTTGAGTCAATGGATAATTGACATGGCTGGTTTGAACTTCTGGGTCTTTTGCTTTGCTTTCACACAAGGATTACATAAACCAATAATTTATTTTAAAATCTCTGGAAATGACACAATCTGAAATTAGATAAATCTGGCTTCAGATACCAGTTCTGACACTACTAATTGCATGATCATCAATAAGTTACTTCTCTGTGCCTTAGTTTCCACATCTGAACATTGGGGGTAAGAGTCCCTCTCTAGATTTGTGAATGGCATGAACACAGGATTTTAAGTGTGGTAGCCAGCATCCAAGATGGCCTCAATGATCTCTGCCTCTGGTATTTATGCCCTTGAGTAATCTCATTCCAAATGTCTCAGGTTGGTCTGTGTGTCTTATAGAATATGGCTTGAAGTGAGGTTATGTGGCTTCTGAAGATATCACAATGTCATAAAAGACACTGTGACTTCTGTCTTGCTCTCTTTCAGGGGTCACTTGCACTAGAGGAAGTCAGCTACCAAATCATAAAGATATTCAAGTAACCATAAGGAGAGGTTCACAAAGTGAGAGAACCAACCCTCGAGCTAACAAGCATGTGAGTGAGCCATCTCGAAAGTGGATTCTCCAGCTCCAGTCAAGCCTTCAGATGAACGCAGCACCAGCCAACATCTCACTCCAACTTTATGAGAGCCTCTGAGCCAGAGCCACTAGGCCAAGCTGTTCCCAAATTCCTGAGTCTCAGAAACTGTGTGAGTTACTATACATATATTTGTTGTTTACTACAAAGTTTTGGGATAATTACTAAGGAGCAATAGATAACTAATACATTAAGGAAATTAGAACCTAGTACTAGGTTCCATTGGGTAAAAAATTAGCTATTGGGTTACTATTAATTTCTTCCATTTGTCTCTCCTGTTTCCCTTCAAAAATCAATGGCTACATTTTTCATGGAGCACTTCAAAATATTTCAAGTCTATTACCTCAATTGGAATTCTGGGTGTAGCGATATATCTTGCTAGAAAACCACAGGCAAAATCTCTGCTCCAAAAGGGCTCCAGTTCCCTAATCTATACCAAAAGGGTATTAGCTAACTCAGTTTTTTTTCAACTTCAGTGTGCATAGGAAGAATCTGGGGACCCTGTGTAAAGTGCAGCTCCCAGACACCTGCCTCAACTGGCTCTGTGGATGTGGAGCAGGCCCTGCCACTCCCCATTTTTAACCTACTGGGGAGAGACAGGGAGGCAAAACTACAAACCTGAAAATAAAGTGGCTAAGTAGCTTCTCAAACTCTTTCCAAGTCTCTAAACACCTCTGAGTCTGGATTGTCATTGTGCTCTACAGAGGAAACCAAGACCAAGAGTTAAGCAGCTCGATTTTCCAGTGTAGACTGTATGACCTTTGTGACTAGTAAACTACTACTTTTATTAAGGCCAAATCTGCAAAATCTGCCTTAAAGAAAATGGTCAGTCTTTCCTTTCTTCTAAACATCTCTGATTTTTTCATCTTGTTTCATGACTATTCAAAGACAGCAACAATAACAAATTCTGGAAAGAAGGATTTGCAGTAGGTATTACCAAATCTTGTCTTTAAAATGTGGTCCTCAACTGAACAATACGAGCATTACCTGAGAGCCTGCCAGAAATGCAGAATCTCAGGTCCCTTCCCAGAAGTCCGGAATCAGAATCCTCATTTTAACAAGACACCCAAGTCATTCCTGCCCACATTACAGTCTGAGATGATGCTCTCCTCTATTAAAAATTTTTTTAGGCAGGGCAATGTGGCTCATGCCTATAATCTCAACACTTTGGGAGGCTGAGGCAGGCGGATCACCTGAGGTCAGGAGTTCGAGACCAGTCTGGCCAACATGGTGAAACCTGTCTCTCTACTAAAAATAGAAAAAAATTAGCCAGGCATGGTGGCAGGTGTCTGTAATCCCAGCTACTTGGGAGGCTGAGGCAGAAGAATAGCTTGAACCCAAAAGGCGGAGGCTGCAGTGAGCCAAGATCATGCCACTGCACTCCAGCCTGGGCAACAGAGCAGGACTCTGTCTCAAAATAAATAAATAAATAAAAATCTAAAGGCTGGGTGCAGTGGCTTGCACCTGTAATCCCAACACTTTGGGAGGCTGAAATGGGAGGATCACTTGGACCCATGAGTTTGAGACTAGCCTGGGCAATACAGTGAGATCATGGCTCCATTTAATTTAAAACAAAAAAATTGTTTTGGAAAAAAAAATGATCATGCTCTAGAATATGGATTGGCACACTACAAGCTACCTGTTTTACAAGGCAAAAGGTTTTGTTAAAACATAGCCAAACTCGGGCCAGGTGTGGTGGCTCATGCCTGTAATCCCAGCACTTTGGGAGGCCTAGGCAGGAGGATCATGAGGTCAAGAGGTCGAGACCATTCTGGCTAACATGGTGAAACCCCATCTCTACTAAAAATACAAAAATTAGCTGGTAGTGGTGGCGTGCGCCTGTAATCCCAGCTACTCAGGAGGCTGAGGGAGGAGAATCACTTGACCTGGGAGGCGGAGGTTACAGTGAGCTGAGATCATGCCATTGCACTCCAGCCTGGCGAGAGAGCAACACTCCGTCTCAAAAAAAAAACAAGAAACAAAAACAAAAAACCATAGCCAAACTCATTTGTTTACTTTTGTACTAGAATGGCAGGGTTGAGTAGTTGTACCAGAGACCCTGTGGTTTGTGAAGACTAAAATGTTTACTATCTGGGCCTTGTAAAAAAAAGTTTGCTGAGTCTTGCTCTAGGATAACCAGCAGAAAATTTAATCAATGGTTTGCACTTATATACTGAGCCAAAGTTTGGAAGGGTTTGCAAGATCAACCTAAGAGCTAAATCTACTGATTGTCTATTATATGTCAAATTGTCTTTATACAGTATCTAAGCTAGTCCTTACTGAGCCTGGAAAGAAAGCTATTTATCTTATTTCACTCAGGAGGAAAGTGAAGTTCCAAGAGTTCACTAAGTGGCCTGCAGTCATGTGGCAAATACCTACTGAGTATGGAATATGAACCTAGGCTTTCTTCGCTCCAGGGAAATCCTGCTCATTCTGGAATAGCAAAGTACACCACCAGCTCTCATAACCGTGACTCTCAGCAGAAGCTCCGAAACTAGAAATACATTTTTAGGGAGCACGGTTTTTTGCTGCCCAAGGACCTAAAGTCAACAAATACCTGAAACTTTCAGTTGCTGATTACAGGGAGTAGGTCCCATCCCCTACAGTATAAAGGTCAGAAGTCGGAAATCAGCTTCTGGGTATAAACATTACAGTTCAGTGCTCTCCTCCTCCACCTCTGAGGGGCAAAAATAAATTTGAGGGTGATGGAAAAACTATTTCATGGACAGAGTAATCACTTCTTTATAGGAAAAGCTCAAGATTGGCTCTACCACCGGATGCATAACTGGGTAGTTCTGGTTCCTCACGGCCTCTGGGGTCTTTCATAAAGAGTTATAAAATGGGTAGATTTTAAAAGCCAGTAGGTTTAAAGTAGGTTTTAAAAGTCAGTAAGTGGAGGCCGGGCACAGTGGCTCATGCCTGCAATCCCAGCACCTTGGGAGGCCGAGGCAGGCAGATCACAGGGTCAGGCGATCAAAACCATCCTGGCTAACACGGTGAAACCCGTCTGTACCAAAAATACAAAAGAAAAAATTAGCTGGGCGTGGTGGCGGGCGCCTGTAGTCCCACCTACTCAGAAGGCTGAGGCAGCATGACGTGAACCCGGAAGGCGGAGCTTGCAGTGAGCCAAGATCACACCGTGACTGCACTCCAGCCTGGGCAAAGTAAGTGGGACGATTTTTTTTTCTTTTTTTGAGACGGAGTCTCGCATTGTCGCCCAGTATATATATATATTAACATATATATATATTTTTTCTTCCCTTTCCAGTTTTAAGGCAGTCCCTTGACTAACACCCTCCTTCCTTCAGCTGCTCATCTTGTGGTACATGGTGCCAAGCGCCCTCCTCATTCCCATCATTTGCTCCAGAGGGTCTTTTGTCAAAACCCCCAGAAGATACAGAATACACCGATGATCAAGCTGGACTTTTCCTCAATGCCACCCCCCACAAAAAATCCTGGTGACCTTCACTCTCCAAGTCCCAGGGAGATGAATACTGTCTTCTACCATTGCCACAGGCTGACTTGCTCAACTGGTAGGGCTGATTCTATCAGATTCCTTATCCATACTTTGTTGTTGGAGGATTTGTCTCAAGGCACCTGGCAAGGTCCAAGGGAAATGACACCTGAGATGTTAGTGGCTCTGCCCAGGGGGCGTCAGGCTCACCTGTCAGCTCCCAAAGGACAGGCTGCTAAGACACATGGCATCTGTGGGATACCTCTTGATATCCACCTGGCCCAGAGCCATGAATTACACACCTCGAAGAAAATGCTAAACACCACATGACCCTAACCAAGATGCAATTGAGATCAGAGCATATTCCCAAGCCGGTATGACTGCTTTTGCCAGGCACCTCCGATGTGGTCAGGCCTGGAGAGATGGGGAGCCTAAGGATAAGGAGCTAAATCCTGGCTCTGCCAACTTCAACACGACCTGGAATAAGTTACTGGGTTTTTTATATTTTTATCTGCCAAAGCCCTCAATTCTTTATATAAAAAACGAGGCCACGAGCAACAATATACTGAGTGATCTGCAAAGGCAGGCTAAGACTGACTTCCCAGACTCTGCCACTGAGCAACTGGTGACTTTGAGGGGGGTTCCTGAACCTCTCTGGGGCTTATGGGTTCAGGCTGACAAACTGTCTCCATTCAGAGTCGCCCAGAGCTGATTTGAAAAGTAAGCCATAGTGGGCAGGAAAATTAAGAAAAGCATGAACCTCTGAAAACCTGCCCGGTCCGTGAGGGAATAACCGGGTCCATCCCCTTGCCCAGAGCCTCCCCACCGCCCTCCTTCAGGCCAGCTAAGCGGGCAGGGCAGCCAGGAGGAAAGCTCAGGGACTAGGCGTCTCAGTTCCCGCTGGCCACCAACTCCCCACGTCCTGCTGAGCGACCCCCTGCCCCCTCTCGGGGTCTGTTTCTCCGTGTACGCAGGAAAGGTGTGGGCTTGTCGCCCCTGGAGGCCTTCCAGCTCCGACGTTTTGAAGCCTGGCTCCTAGATTAAACTCCCTTCGGATCCCATTTTCTGAAGGGTCGCAAAAGCTGGGGTCTGGGTGGGGTAAGCTGGGGGATAACAGCGGCTCCGGCCGCGGCCTGAGCCCTTCAAGAGAAGCATCCGGTCAAGCGGCTGTGCAGCCGAGGAGGAACCCGGGGACTGCAAGTCTGAGTGGTGGGGACGGCGCAACCACTCACCGGCATAACTGAGGCAGCGGCGGCGTGGCGGCGGTGGCAGCAGCGCCTCTCGGGGCTCGGAGGGCGGGTTCGGCTGCGCTTCCGAGAGTGCGCGCTAGAGGCCCCTTCCCGGAAGCCCCACCCTCTCCGGGCCAGGCCGCGAGGGAGGCCCCGCCCCCTCCGGGCCTCAACTCTGCCAGCCGCACCGCCCCTTTTCCGTCGGCCGCGCCTATGGTCACCCGGCCTGGACTGAGAGAGGAGGTGAGAGGAGCGCTGCGTTGGCCTCTATGGACTGTCGGCCTTTTTCAGAACGCCTACTTCGGGTCAAGCTTGTTTTAGGGAATACCAGAGAAGGGCACCGCCTTGAATAGGACAGAGTCATCCATCCCTAAAAGGACAGTTTAACTCATTTATTCACCGAGTCAGTGTTTATTGAGCGCCAGCCAACGAGGACGCAGCGGTGGAAAAGATGTAGCAGGAGGCTGCGAAGGACGCAGGCAGTGATAGTGCAGGGTTAGCAGAGCTGTCGTGGCAGAGGAGGAAGGGCCCTGACTGGAGTGGGATAGGGGCGGTTGTGGAAGAGAGGCGGCCTGGGGAGGAGGCAATAATCTGGACCTCAGTTAGCCTTTATCGCCCTATTACAGGCTCTGTCTCTAAATGCAGTCGCATTGGGGGTTAGGGTATCAACATAGGAATTTTGGGGGACACCATTCATGTCCGTGTCAGAGTTCAGTCCCTAACAGAGCCATACTGACTAGAGTTTAAATCTCAGCTCTATCATTTACCAGCTGTGTGACCCTGGGCAGATGAACTTACCTCTCTAAGCCTCAATATCCTCACGTATAAGATGGGGACAGTTAAGGTGACTATACAATTTTTTATCTAAACCTTTTGCTAGAGAAAGGAGATGCTATTAATAATTTTGCCAGGACAACAGGCAAACACCATGCCTGTTTCAGGCAAACAAGGACACATGGTCCCCTCCAAGAAACCTACTTTGTGGTATTGTTGGAATACATGTAATGTATGCAGACTTCTTAGCACATTGCTTGGCACATGGTAGGCACCAAAATATGTAAGTATTCTCTAATTGCTAGGCCCTCGGTTGGCCTCCCTGGCACTGGGTCTTCCCCTGCTCACAAAATACCCCTTAACCATTCATCCCCTACCTAACCTGCCAGGAATTCCCTAAAGATGGAAGGGAAGGGGGCGAGGAGGAGAGGGAAAGAGGGTGCTGGCACATTAGGTCCTGTAGAGGCAAGGCTTAGCATCTTAGTAGTCCTGGGTGCAACTTTGCACTGGGGCTAGGGATAGCTAGATTGCCATAAGGGAAGGTTGAGGGTAGCCATGAGGGAACGAAATCCTTCCCAAAGGCAACAGTGCACAGGACGAGCCACCCACAGCATGTTTTAGAGGATTAGGGGTAGGGGTTGGGAGTATGGCTAAGCCTAGAGACAGCAATTTAAAGAGAAGACAGCTTTATGAAGATGTGTTAAAGATCGCAAATAAAGGCCTATTAAAGAGGAGAAGAAAATATGCCAGACTGTAGTTCCTGCATAAATATATACATACATTTCGTGTACTTACATAAAAATAAGCCTGAAATCAACTACAGCCAATGTTACTAGAAGTTATCTTGGATAAGTGTAGGATTTGCAGGTGGAATCCCAATGTGCCTACTGTTTAATTTTCAAATAACACAAAGTAGCATACAGTGAAAAGTAGGTCTCCCTCCTACCCTGACCTCTCCTTCTTAAACAAAAGGCATACTATATACAGTTTTGCACCCTGCTTTTCTCACTTTATAAAATATCTTAGAGGTTATTCCTGGGCCAGGTGCAGTGGCTCATACCTGTAATCCCATTGCTTTAAGAGGCCCAGGTGGGAGGATCACTTAACCCCAGGAGTTTAAGACCAGACTGAGCAATATGGTGAAACCCCAGCTCTACAAAAAATACAAAAATTAGCCAGGTGTGGTGGCATATGCCTGTGGTCCCAGCTACTCAGGAGACTGAGGTGAGCATCACTTGAGTGAGCATCACTTGAGCTTAGGAGGTCAAGGCTGCACAGAGCTATAATGACACCACTGCACTCCAGCCTGGGTGACAGAATGTTACCCTGTATTAAAAAAAAAAGAAAAAGAAAAAGAAAAAAAAAGATTATTCCTTAATAGTACATATCAATCATTTTCTTTCTTTCCTTTTTTTTTTTTCTCTTCGAGGTGGAGTCTTGCTCTGTCGCCCAGGCTGGAGTGCAGTGATGCGATCTTTGCTCACTGAAACGTCCGCCTCCTGGGCTCAAGAAATTCTCCTGCCTCAGCCTCCCAAGTAGCTGGGATGATAGGCGTGCACCACCCTGCCCGGCTAATTTTTGTATTTTTAGTAGAGACGAGGTTTCACCATGTTGGCCAGGCTGGTCTCGAACCAGCCTGACCTTGTTCGCCAGACTTTGTGATCCACCCACCTTGGCCTCCCAAAGTGCTGGGATTATAGGCAATGAGCCATCTCTAAGCCAGTGAGCCTGGGAAATGGGCATATAGAATCCCTGCCCTTTCTGGCTGCCAGTGTTGTTGTGAGGATAGGAATGCACGCACTGTAGGCATGTATAGATGGTGGGTTCCTCCTGGTATCATCTACCTCTAGACCCAGCCTCCTAGGATGACCCTTTCTTTGACAGATGCTGGGGAGTTTAACTCTTTGCAAAGAAAGGTTTTGTAGCTGCTTGTCTGCTCCCTGCTATCCCCACCGCAGGAAACCAAGTGTCTGTTTGTTGTATCATAACGCAGGTATACACTATTTGCCTCACCGCTTTATCCATCAAGGAACCCTTTATCTAGGACCAAAGATTCTGAGCTGAAAGGGCCCTCAGAGCAGCCAAGTCATGCATGAGAAGAGAAGGGCTATGAAGTGGAAGCTGAGGGAGCATGGACTGCAGGCTTGGGAGAGGTAGCATGGTATCCTGCAGAGCCGCATGCTGGCAGAACTGGGTCTATAGACACATTTCATTCAGTTCCTAAAGTATTCAAAATATTTTTTGATTAGTTGACAACAGTTAAGAACCCTGAGTATGCTTGTTCAACATTGTGAATATACTTAATGCCACTGAATTATACACTTAAAAATGGTTAGAAAGAGGAATTTTATCTTCTGTATGTTTTACCGCAATTAAAAAATAGGGCATGGTGGCTCACGCCTGTAATCCCAACACTTTGGGAGTCCCAGGCAGGAGAATTGCTTGAACCCGGGGGCTCAAGACCAGCCCGGCAACATGGTGAGACTCCATCTCCACAAAAAATTTAAAATTTAGCTGGACATGGTGTTGTGTGCCTGTAGTCCCAGCTACTTGGGAGACTGAGGTGGGAGGATCACTTGAGCCCAGGAGGTCAAGGCTGCACTGGGCCGTGATCATGCCACTATACTCTAGCCTATGCAACAGAGCAAGATCCTGTCTCAATATAAAAATAAATAAATTTACTTCTAGAGTGACATGTAAAATTAGTTGCTTTCTTATTACAAGCCTAGGAAAAGCATTTTTAAAAATAAAAATTCTAGTTTTTAATTTTTATTTTTTGAGACAGGGTCTTGCTGTGTCACCTAGGCTGGAGTGTGGTAGCGTGAACATGGCACACTGCAGCTGTGACCTCCTGGGCTCAAGCGATCCCCCGACCTCAGCCTCCTGAATAGCTGGGACCACAGGTGCATGCCACCACACCCAGCTAATTTTTTTTTTTTTTTTTTTTTGTATTTTTGTAGAGATGGGGGTCTTGGCATGTTGACCAGGTTGGTGTCATAATGCGTTGGCCTTCCCAAAGTGTTGGGATTACAGGCGTGAGCCACTGCACCTGGCCTAAAGAAGTTTTTAAAAAGGGTGATGGCCAGGTGCAGTGGGTGCCTCACACCTGTAATCCCAGCACTTTGAGAGGCAGAGGCAGGCAGATCACTTGAGGTCAGGAGTTCAAGACCACCCTGGCCAACATGGCAAAACCCCGTCTCTACTAAAAGTACAAAAATTAGCTGGGAGTTGTGATGGGCGCCTGTAATCCCAGCTACTTGGGAGGCTGAGGCAGGAGAATCGCTTGAACCCTAGAGGTGGAGGTTGCAGTGAGCTGAGATCGTGCCACTGCATTCAAGCCTGGGCAACAGAGGGAGACTCCATCTCAATAATAATAATATTAATAAAAAGGGTGAAACCTATTCAACTAAAGTCCTCAGAATATTTACATTGTATTTTTTAAGTAAGACCAAAAAGTTTTTGTACTATTAGTAAATGTTTTTAAAAAAAGAACACTGAGTCACATAACCTAGATTTTTAATATCTCCTGAAAAACGGAAAGATCTGGAAACATGTCTATAACTGGCAGGATAGGCCAAGTAATATTGTAGTAACAAACAATCCCAAAACCTCAATGGCTTAAAACAACAAAGATTTATTTCTCGTGTGATATGCCCATAACTGGCTGAGTGGGTTGAAGTTGGTGGAGTGACTCTGTGTAAATTGCTTTTGCTCAAGGACCTGGTTTGAGAGAGAGTCACCATATAGAATGGTACTGATCTGAAAGTGTCCCGCCAAAATTCATATGTTGAAACCTAACTGCCAATGTGATAGTATTAAGAAGTGGGACCTTTGGGAAGTGATTAAGTAATGAGGGAAGAACCCTCATGGATGGGATTAGAGAATTTATAAAAGATATTGAACGGAGTACTGTAAGCCCTTTTTGCCCTTCTGCCATGTGAGGGGACAGTGATCATTATAGAAGCCATCATAGTCCCCAGCACTCTTTATGGACTCCCAAAATAGCAGCCAATGGTCAGGGAACATTTGCCATGCTGTCCTCTTCCTCCTTTGTTCTCTGTACCCCTGGGGCTTCAGATTTCTAAAGATGTGTTTAATGAGACAACCCAGACAAACCTGTGTTCAGTTCCTTGCTGTTTCAGGCATTTAATCTCTCTGACCCTGTCTCTTCTCTTGTAAAATAAAGATAATAATTAGATGTAGCTCATCGTGCTGTGGTGAGCAATAAGACAACACTCAAAATATTCAGCTCAGGGGTATCCCTATCTGTTGAAATGAGCCGTTTGAAGATTAGATGAGTTTTTTTTGTTTTTGTTTGTGTGGTTTTTTTTTTAAGACAGAGTCTCATTCACTCTGTCACCCAGGCTGGAGTGCAGTGGCATAATCTCAGCTCACTGCAACTTTCACCCCTTGGGTTCAAGCGATTCTCCTGCCTCAGCCTCCTGAGTAGCTGGGATTACAGGCATGCATCACTGCATCCGGCTATTTTTTGTATTTTTAGTAGAGATGGGGTTTTGCCATGTTGGCCAGGCTGGTGTCGAACTCCTGGCCTCAAGTGATCTGCCCAACTCAGCCTCCCAAAGTGCTGGGATTACAGGCCTGAGCCACTGGGCCTGGCCTTCAATTAGGTCTTATGTATATTTTATTCTTGTTTCTTTTTTCCTTATTGGGCTTTGAATTTCAAGTGATATAAACCTG